ATAAACGGCACTGATTGCCTTTACAGTTTGTCTGGTTAGCTACTTTTGTGGGAGTTCCTGGATTTATTCACTTCCTGAAATCTGATTATTGATGGAGTCTGCAGTGTACTCTGGTACAGCAATGTATTGATAGCGATGCTCAATGTATTTTGACTTTCTGAGATCAATTGGAGCCTACAAAATAATGTGATCCACTGGGATTCCATCGAGTTTTAAGGACACCATAAACAACATCTTCAAACAGATTTCCAGTGGATAAATTATGGAGTAGACCAATGATTTACAAGCAATGTCCCTTGACATCTCCCAAACCAGTAGTTTCAGATGACAATATTTGGCATCGTATAATAAATCAGTTCTATGGTCAATTTAACAGGGTATTGCTGTATATACTGGGTGCCCTAAAGTGTTGTAGCGAGACAAACTTAGAATAACTCTGTGATTGATGAAGGAATAGTATTGAAAAATGTCATCTGACGTACAATCCAATCCAATTATCATAATTTCTGAAAGTTTCACTGGGTACCTCTATTTTAGGTTTAGAGAAAGGCGTGTGCAAGTATCATCGCCCTTGTTTCCATATGTTTGCAATTGTTCACATACTCTGCATACTCACAACGGAGGTCAGTTAGAGCATGTCATCTAAAAGTCATCTGTCTCACTAACGATTTTTTTATGGTTTTTTAACTGCTAATTGAAAAATAAATTGTTTTTATTATGTAAAAACTTCAGCTTTTTGATGATGGAAAAACGATTCATTTGTGTACACATTTTCGTAAGTTCTTCGTAACGTAGATTGCACTGTACATGCTCTATATAACAGAGAATTCAGTCGAGCTGAAAATTGCAAGTATTTGATTTCATTTGCCAAACAAGCGCTTGCTTTTGATTGCATTGATGGTTATCATAGAATTGGGTTCATGTCCCATGGGAGTGGAAAGATCTAGGTAGAGGCATCGAGCAGGATAAATTCAATAAAAATGACATTCATATTCATCGTGCTCCTCATAAAGCTTCAATTTTTCTTGTTTTTACAAGCCTTAGACATATTTGTTATCCGAGTAAGGCTGGGTTTAGCTTTGTAAATTGGTTCCCTGAATAAAGGACAACATAGACACACGTATGTTAATCACATATGGCCTTAACAAACATATTTTATTACAATACGGTCATGCGCGAGGAACCAGACAACCGATCATAAGAAAATCAAAACCCCAATATCCCAAAATATGATCTAACGCTTTATCAAACAAGTGTATTATTTAACTTGGACACAATAGAGATGTGGCATTTCCTGAAAGCCATTCAAGGTATTGTACTCAGGTACTTCTAGAGACACTGGCTTTTTAAAGAATCAGAAATCGAATGAAGTAGTCGAGTCGCTCGATCGAGGTACTGCATGACCCTGATGTTCAATTGTGTTTATCATAAGTACAGTATACATACTAATAAAACTATCGTTATAAAGGAATTCATTGATCGTTCACACAATCATAAAGACCAAATCATGATAGTTATGTATGTGTTTGTCTATGAGCAATATACGTCTGTTGGTATGGTGCTATCTGACATGCATAGGACGTCATTTATAATTAAAATGGATTTTACATTTTATAAACAGAATAACTTGTGTGATTTGATTTGACTGTTTTCAACAAATAAGTAAAAATACTAAAATATTATCCTAATCTCCTGGAACTTGACAAAATTGCTTTGTATGATAGCCATTTAAAATAAAAGAAAGATTGTGTACTTGAATAAGATTCATTGAACAATATGAAAATAAGAATTTCCCTTCTTTGTCTACAAATATGGCCAATATAAAATTGCAAAAATAAGGCTATGTCAATAGAACGTTGTTATACTTTGGACAAGTTCATGAACAGTTCGTACAATTTTTGTTTTTATAGATTAACAATTTATTTGATCATATACTTTCGTACGTAATAGCTTGCCAATCGCCTTACTGGTATTCTGAGCTGAACAACATATAAAGTACAAATGTAAATGTATGCAATAGGGAAGCATAAAGGCAAGATATGTAAAAAGGTGGGAAATTGGACGGGCTTTGATTCATGTGTCATGGTCTCAGTGAGGGAGTAATGGGAATAGGTAATACTTGCATGGAGGGTCCCATAGAGAAATATAACTATAATGTTATGTGTTCTCTATCAAAAAGTTGGCAACAAGAGCAAAAAGTTCATTATTTTATTTGTGCTAAGGATAGTATGTCACTGCCATATTTCAAAAAATCTATTAATTGGTTTTAATTCTTTATGGTTATAGGCTTATACGTCTCAACAAGTGTGAAAAGGTGTTTCTTTTTTTGTGCTATGTTTGGACAACAGAAGAATAAATGTTTAGGTGTTTCAGGTGCACCGCAAGTACAATTGGGTGTTTCAATATAAGTGAAGTTGTGGCCATATAGTTGTGCTTTTGTAAGCAGGTCAACTCTGAACCTACTAAGAACTATTTCTTGATTTCTTGTTAGCTTTAACTTAGTAGTTGGATGAAAGTCAGGCTTCGGAATTTTCTTTTTTTGTAAATGATTGAAGCTGAAAAGTGTTTTACAATCTCTAATATGCTTAGGTAGTTTATTCCAATGGGAGATGGCATTGAGGACAGGCGAGTTTCTAAATTTGGTTGAGCATTTGGTTGGTATTTTGAAGTCAGGATTTGATCGTTCGTACAATAATACATAGATCTAAGAAATAGTTGTAGGGCATGATCTATCTGCAAAACCAAGTATGTACTTCAAATACGGTGAAACTAGATTAATTACTACTTCATGTTTATTTAGATATGGAGAGAGAAACCATTACGTCCCTCTGGCTCAATCCAGGAAATATCAATTCATAATGTTTAAGATACCTGCCTCTGATATACGGAATCACCTCAGGTAACTAGTGATGTTTTTAGATCACAAAAAGTGTCCAAACGCCTCTCATATCATCAGGAACGGTTTCAAAGACATAGCACAGATAACCTCAAAATAACCGATGAACTCGTTTCAGTCACATATGTGTGAAAATTAAACCTCCAATATCGGGAACAGTGTCAAAGAACCAACACAACAAAAATATACTGTAACCAGATTCAAAAAGATTTTAGATCAAAAAACAGTTATCGATACAGTATATGAGAAGCAGGGGAATAATTGAGACAAAAGATTTGAGCTGGGTTAAGAATTAAGCTAGATATCGATCGTGATCCAATTTTTCGTTTAACCGTTCAAGTTCGACACTCCCTTAATTAAAAAGCATTGAAGCAGATTGTTGTGAATCAAACGTAATGCCTTTCATAAACACCAGTGTCCATTTGCCAATTCAAATGTGTAAATGATTCAGAGATTTCATTGTTGGATTCCTGATCAGTATTATTTTAATGGAATGAATATGCAATATATTTTGCATGATTGCCAAATTCAGTAATAAATTCGGTGCACTTACTAGTATGTACCAATGAAATTGTCAGTGACAAATAACGCAATTTTCATATTACATCATTACATTGAATCAAGGGTGAGCGTAATAGCCGAAACGTTCCTCGTTCGCAAATCCAATGTAATGGCGTTCGGTTTTTACAATATACTGTTCTATCAACCAATAGAAATACTTTATCCACTGGTGGGAGGGGCTTTGGTTTTTAGATTTGAAATAATATGCTGAGTCCAAAAATATTCTTTAATTGAAACAATATTTGGGCAAGGTTGCTACCACGATGGTTTTCCAGCTTTTCCATTTGTAATTTAAAAAAGGCATTATATTACGTGATTAAATAAAATATTCACACGTAGCTAGGTATGGTGTATCAGATTCCAACCAATCAGAATGAAAAAAGCAAACCGTCAGTTTTGACCATTTATCTTTCCTTGCAAAAAATCATTATTTCAGGTGATTCTGAACCAAATCATCTTTTGCAATATGTGAAAAGAATTTAAGCACGTGATTCAATGAATTGTGGATGATTTAATCGACCAATGGCTTGTATCCTACCACCCTCATTCAAATTAGAAACAAGGCATAAGCAGTTGATATCATATTCAATTCATAGATTCCAGGCCTTAAACATGTTGTATTCAACATCAATACTTTAGCCCGAACACATATAAAACCATTGTTTTAGATAATGTCAAGGGGAATCAAATAATATTACATAACACAAAATAAAAACCTTGGAGTACAAGCAGTCATAAAGAAAACAAATTCCGAATCTCCCAAACTACATGAGCTACACTCTCATGAAAATCATAGCGATAGCGCAAAAACAGCAAGATATACTAAGTAGTGACGTTTCCGATTTGCACACTAAGTCAAGTAGCAATGTTTATCCTTGAATGAAGTACGAGTCTTGTAATAATACATAATTAATTTATCTTATGTTAGTACAGGTAGCATTGATCTGCCCATTGATCACACCTCTGCAATTGTATTATTCAATGCTAAACCTCTTTATAATATACTAATAATAGCTTTGGAAGTTGATTTTATCGGTTTTTATAGTTTGTGGGCTGTTACATATTTGTGCTCTTCTAGTATTGCTCTCTTTGGTTTTAAAAGAAAGTAAATTGTCAAGCTTTTGGGTTAAAATTAAGTAAGGATGGCAATGGCTATATTTAGAAACAAGACTCTAAGAGATCCACCGTTAACACGGGGGTAAAGCAGACCCGATGATGCAATGAGCTTGCTCGGCGGTATCATGACTTTGTAACGGGTCTTAATGTATAAGTGTGCTCGGCGGTAGGTTCAAACAACGCGGATCCTCAAAGCATGTGCTCATGGTATATTCGTGTTTTAACACCCGTGATTAAATAGATTTGCTTCTATTTAATTGTCTCGTGTTCATGGTATTAAACTTCATATTATGGAACCCATGTATAGTCTCACTTACTCATGATGGGCTGACGGCGTGCATAAATCCTCTATGTTACTAACCAAATCAATAAATACACTTATATTAGCAACAAAAATATAACCACTGATTTTTTTCTTTACTTTCAGAGTCACTCATGCTGTCTGATGAGAAGAAACTGATCAAGATTTTGCTTGAACAATATGACGAAGTTGGCAAAGTAGGACGTCCAGTGCTAAATACGTCACACACCGTCAACGTGAAATATGGCCTTGCACTCATACAGATTCTCGATCTCGATGAAAAGAATCAAGTGCTTACTACAAATACATGGAATAGATTTGTAAGTATTTCAAGACATGTCATGGTAAGACGACGGTCTTCAAAAGCAAGTTTCATTTACAGATTCAGAGATATAGGGTGTCCAGAAACTTTTGCCAATTGTATCAAATAGCTATGGTTGTATATCCCGATTTCTGGCATCAGTATCAGACATGTGTAACATATAAACGTTCGTAATTGCAGTAACAATAAAACGTGTTGTTAAAATTTTGGAAAAAAATATTGGTTAAAAGTTTTTGAACACCTTGAACATATATTATCAATCGTTATATAATTAATACTAAACATGTACATGTAATGTTAAGTATATCGTGATGATCAGAAAGCATTTGATGATAAAACGATGCTGCATATAAAATCTATATTAAAACCCATAAAGACAAATTAAATGTAAAATATTTATTGTCTCAATGATGTAAATAAAAGTCATAAATGTATTCTAAAGTTGGTTTGAATATTTTGGACGCATATCAGAGAATAGTTGAAAACACAAAATATCATAAAGGCACTACATAAGTACATGTACAAGTACAACCATTCACTAATACCTAATGAAATGAAAAACAAAAGACAATATAAGGAAAGTATTAAATAATTGTCTGAAGTGGAAGAAAATGATAATTGAATTGCAGTTGTGGACAGACATGTTATTGAGGTGGAACAAGTCGGATTATGGTGGAATTGACCATGTCAGAATTCCATCTGAAAAAATATGGACACCCGATATTGTACTTTACAACTAGTAAGTCATTGTCTTCGAAACACGTTTTTGAAGTGGATCAAGCATTTCCTCTTGTATCCGCTTTCACACCAATGCTTACAGGCCCGTAAGACACTTTTCTCCAAGGGGGGTGCGGTTTTTAGCTTACTAAAGAGAATATAAAATTGTCATTTTTGCCGCGTAAATGAAATCGCGTAAGACAGAGGGGGGGGTCAGTTACTCCCTATATTGGTTTGGAATTAACAAATGCATGCAACTTCCAAACGTTCCAATTGTTTTGTTGAGTTGTGAGGAGTGGTCCACTCCCACTAGAAAATTTTACAGTTTTGAGATGCTATTTGGTGCTTTCTGGGCACTGTCAAAGTGTAAGTTTCTAAGTAGTACGCCACCACCATGGGAGTAAGAGTTGAGTGAATAAAAAACCGAGCATTGAGGGGGGTCTGGAGGTTCTCCCCCAGGAAAATTTTGAAATTTGGTTGTATTTGGAGCCAATTTGCAACCATCTGGTGCGCTTGTGCGTTATGAGTCAATAAAAAAAATGTGAATTTTTTTCAAATTCTTTTGGGGTGTCAAAGAGGATGAGAGGGTGAAGTGGGGTGGGGTGCCAGTAGGGAAGCAAGGGATTGTCCCAAAGAAACATTGACCATATCAAGGTGCTATTTGATGATGTCTGGGCACTTAAAAAATGTCTGAGACAATACATGAAATTCAGAATATTTTCTTTTTTTGTGGGGGATGTGAGGGGTGGCTAACTCTCCTAGAAAATTTTACAATTTAAATATGATATTTGGTGCTTCTGGGCACTTTTAAGTGTATTAGTCAATAAAACATTGAAAAACAATCACAATTTTTTTCAAATTTTGGGGGTGTCAAAGGGGGGGGGGGAGGGGTGCCAGATGGGGCTGGGGTGCCAGAGGGGGAGCAAGTGTTTGTCCCCCATGTCAAAATTTACAATATCAAGGTGCTATTCGATGAAGTTTGGGCACTTTAAAAGTGTCTGTGCCTAAAAGTCCCAAGAAAATTTTACAATTTTAAGATGCTATTTGGTGCTTTCTGGGCACTTTCAAAGGGTATGAGTCAATAAAAAAATTTGAAAAATCTCAATTTTTTTTTTGGGGGGGGGGGTGTTAAGGCAGAGGGGCTGCCAGAGGGGGAGGTGGAGTGGGGATGCCAGAGGGCAAGTAAGTGTTAGTCTTCCAAAATCATTAACTTTATCAAGGAGCTATTTGATGATGTCTGGGCAATTTAAAAGTGTCTGAGACAATACATAAAACAAATTCAGAACTTTTCCATTGTTTTGTATGGGGTGTGAGGGGTGGCCCACTCCCCCTAGAAAATTTTACAATTTTACGACGCTATTTGGTGCTTTCTGGGCACTTTCAGTGTATGAGTCAATTAAAGAATTTGAGAAAATCACATTTTTTGTGGGGGGGGGGCGCCAGAGGGGGGGGGGCGCCAGAGGGGGGGGGGTTATGCAAGTGCAAGATGCAAGAGGGGGAGTAAGTCCCCCAGAAACACTAACTGTATCAAGGAGCTATTTGATGATATCTGGGCACTTTAAAAGTGTCTGAGACAAAACTCTAAAATAAATTTAGAACTTTTCCATTGTTTTGTGGGGGGTGTGAGGGATGGCCAATACCCCTAGAAAATTTTACAATTTTAAGATGCTATTTGGTGCTTTCTGGGTACTTTAAAAGTGTATGAGTCAATGAAAAAAAATTACAAAAAAATGTTTTTCAAAAAAAAAATTTTTTCAAATATTTTTTTTAAAATTTATTTTGGGGGGTGACAAAGGGGGGTGCGGTCGCACCCATCGCACCCCCCCCATCTGACGGCCCTGGCTTAGAGACTCATAAAGGACTGAAGAGAAATTCCTTGTAGATCAACACTGATTGCCACTAAAAACGGTCTCAACATAACTTTTCACTTTTGTTACATTCTCACATATTGATTTTGAATCCAAGAATGACAATTCCATTCTTTGCTAAAAATCACAATTAGAATGCCATTTGTTTCAAAATTTAGGTAGAGCGATCAGAATGGCAAATTTGCTTTACCTTAACCACGTAGTCTTGGTACAAGAAGAAATGCTAGCTTTCACAATTTTAAATTTTAAAACGGAGAAATTGAATACTTGGGTGTTCTTAGATTACTGAACACGACTATCGTATTCAAGCTCTCAGTTTGTGTGTTTTCTCTATTGGAAGCATATATCATTATAACATTATATTACCAAATTGATGTATATATTTTGTTACTTTAATGTATGCTACCAGTGGAGCTATGAAACATAGCGTTTGTGAGCTTTATGTGTGACGATCAAACATATCCGGGGGGTTTTGGGTACCGGGTACAGTAAATTTAGTCACTAAATGGCATTTTGATACAAAATTGGCAAAACTTATTTCAAAATTTGCAAATATATGACAAATTCCTTTTCGTAAAATAAGGCTCAATCGTCCTTCATGAAAGCTGTACATAGCTTTGTAAAATACACATCATGGCCATGTTTGATCTTTATCAATATACAGCAAGACCATGGCTATGTGTACCAATAAAATAGATTTTTTATTTTTGAGAGTGAATGCATTTTCGTACATTACATTGCTAGCAATGGATAGACGCGCTTCTAACATGGGAACCCGATGAATATGGTGGTATTGAAATCGTGAGGATTCCAACAGCTCATATTTGGACTCCTGATATTGTTTTGTACAATTAGTAAGTTTTGATTGGTTCCTTAGCCTTGGGAAACCAGTCATTCAACACAATCACGAACCATGTATCTAATATTGTACCTCTTTGTGGAGCCCCGGGTGTGGCGCCTCCTTTAACACTATAAGAATCTCGTTAACATACTATTTTCAAGCAAAATACAGCACGGAGTCTAAGTTTGATGATCCATACCTGATGGTCAGTGATCTCCAGTTCTAGAATCCACAACTCAAAGATAAATAGATTGATTATTTGCAATTTGGGAGAATAGAGTTTTGACTATTATACGCATGCTTAGTTCAGTTCAGTTCGAAAACATACACACATCTTAATTAAAATAAATTTCAAAATGGAAATATATTTCCTTTCAAATTGTCAGATACTCCAAATTGTGTATACTGACAGGTTAAACTCTACTCTGTTGGATAACTTAATGAGTTTTGATCATTGCCTCTAGAATTGGGGATTATACCCTCAAACGTACACTCCAAATAATCAGTTACCCTTTACCCTAATACCACTTCTAAAATAACTCTATCTAATAATCTAATGGCATCATATCTATTCTATATACTAATTAATTTTGTTTGTGTATGTTGAATATTGTGAAATTGGGATTAAGTTCACTTTTATCTAAATGTATATGAACATACGACGGATTATTACCATACATTTGAAGTGATCATAGTTCGTGATTGGAACAGTAGGAGTGTTTCGTGTTACTTAAGTCCATGTTACATGTATGCATATGTTGTAATGAACATTCAAAGAGAATTCAAATCAACCTATCCTAGAATGTTTTTTGAAGATGTATTATGATGTTGTGACTCTTAAGGTGGGTTTAGTGGTGCCACCTTTTGGCAGAGGTGTCATTCTCTGCACTTGACCTACCTGAATGATATTGTATGGTTATGGTATTTGGTAATAAGATCCTCCAGAGGACTACCCGTATGTAGATACCAGAAAAAGAAAAGGTTTAGTTGTACTTTGTATGTTTTCAGATTTAGATTTTGAGAGTCATCAATCGTGAACAAAGTTTTAGTTGAATTCTGTTTTTCTGACTAAATTGAAATAATGATGAAATTGATAAATTGGACAGTTATTGAATCAGTTGTCAAATACAAATCCATCATGCTCTGCATAAAATGTACTGCATGCGCTGTGATTGGTAGAACCGGGGTATGAGGTAATGAGGAAAACTCGGGCGTAAATTAGGCAATTTGGAGAAATGCGTAGTCTCTTTATTGCATACACTTGATGCTCTTCTTGACTAATCCTGAATTGTGTTATGGCATTTCAAGAGATTGGATTAATATAATAACAGAATTACCAGAAGCAATCAAATGAAATTGATGTGTTTTAGCATGATAGTGACAATTTATCACAATATTATTGTAATAAACACAACTATGAAGCCATTCTGCTTTGCAAAAGTACACAGGCGATCAACGTGCAATGGTTTAAAACAATGAACCCAAATAGAATCAATTGTTTTTAATTAATGAGAATGTGCAGTTTCAGAAAATTCAACAATTTTAAAATTAAATTGTTGCCATTCGATGATTACATTGAGAATATGCGTTTGTCAGATTTTTTTGATAATCTGTTTAGAGAAAAATGTTGAATGTTGCATTTAGTTCGCCAAATCATAACCAGTGCTTTACCTGCGCCAAATTCATGAAGTTTTCACAATCTGAAAAAATCATGAGTTACGTTTTATTGGGTCACATTGTAAGTGTTTCAAGTCTCTTGATAGATTACGTGAATGGCTTCATGGGGGTGAATCACCAGTGATACGGAAATTGCATGTACCTATATACTTGTACTACCACTCTAAGTATTATACACACGTGTGCACGATTATTGGCATGATTTAAATAAAAAAAATGTTATCCTTTTGCTGTTTCTTGTGTTTACACTGTCCCTCTGTAAACAGCATCATCTAATTACAAGGGTTGTTCAAAATGTTTTGCACAAATATATATAATTATGAAAATAATGAACCAATCTTGTTCATAGTTGGTAGCCCCCATCTTATTCCCTTATGATGTCAAGGTTTCATGTATATACGTCTCCTTCTTAACATTCTATGGTTGCTATATTGATCTAATAACATTTTGTAAAATATTTTTGTGTACTAGAACTTAAAATAATTCATTATTGTATCCATTAATAATATGTATATGAATGCGCCTGCTAGATAGATGCATATTCAATTCTGCGCCCAATTCAGATTAAAGTTATGATTTTCGAATGATCAATTTAATGTTATTATAAGAAAGTATGACAACACATATAAACTCTCCCTGATAGTTGATATTGCGTTCTATTTCAGTGCTGATTATCGTTTGAAAGAGCAAAGAGAAGCTATGGCTGTTGTAACCTATGACGGAACTGTTATGTGGATTCCAATGGCAATATACAAAAGCACATGTCAAATAGACATCAAGAATTTCCCATTTGATGAACAGACTTGTCATTTAAAATTTGGTAGCTGGACCTACGATGGTTTTAAATTAGATTTAAATTTTTATAATGAAAAAAATGTGACAGACATTACTGATTATGTGGACAGCAACGAGTGGAAACTTTTAGAGCACCCAGCTGTGAAGAACACAAAGTATTATCCATGTTGTAAAGAGCCATATCCAGACTTAACATTTACACTAAAAATAAAGCGCATCGCAGCGTTTTACAGCTATATATTGATATTACCATGCGTTCTACTGGCAACATTAACACTTGTGGTATTCTGGTTACCACCAGAATCTCCAGCTAAAATGATATTAGGTAAGCTTTTACATTTTTCGTTTTATTAACTTATCTCAAAATTTAATTCAACTTAATGTCATGATTCATAATTAAAGTCATCTTGAATAATCTATGTTTGTTGTGGATTCCACAACACAGATCCCCAAATGTGGTTCAGATTTTGCTTTTTAGAAATCTGACCATTCAGACCAAAACTGTTGAACTGTTGGAGGCCTTCTGCCAAGCTTCCTCGAACTATTGTGTCATATTGGAATGATTGAGATCCATACCGATATGGACTTACCTCTCCATAATATTTTTAATACAATTAAGTATAATACCACTGGCATGTATGTGGCTAAGTTGGAAATAGCTTTATAAATGGCTTGTGTGATTTAGATTGAGGGGTTTGTTGTTGTTATTCAGATATTCCTCTATATGCAATATCAGCTTTATTTTAAATAAAGGGCAATTTGAAGGTAATTAATTTCTAATTTGATCGACATACTGAAATACAGTATCCAGACAGTGCGTGTCTAAACCACCAACTAAGATTTCTAACCAATAACCAAAACAAATTATCAAATAATTATTTTATTCCATTGTGAATATTTTCAAGCAGCTATATTAATACAGTTTTATCAAATAAGACAATTTACTAATGAACTTATGAAATGAGAGTGCCTCAAGAGATATTAATAGACTGACGCCAATAACTCTGCTGAAATGTATTCAGTTGATGAATGGGTAACAAAAAACGTCACCAGATTTGAAGATAGAGTGCAGCAACTAATGTTTTGTCGAATTGAGGTCTAGGTTTCAGAATTGTACAAAATTATACAAATCTATTAATTTGATTTCTTTTTTGGAATAGTGTGGAACAATCCTACATAATGGAAATACACAGATAAATATATAAGCACAAGTGCCAAAGGGAAAGGACCAGAAGTTGTAATGGAACTTAACAAGAAAAAACAAACTCTAAGTGCATACCAGTCAAGAAAAAAAACATAAAGCCCAAAACCATCTAACGTGAAAAGAAAAAATGTCTAATACCCCCTTCCCCCACCATTCAAGAACCGATATCACAATCCAAGACCAGAAGATCAAGGGACATTTCATTCATACTGAAGTCAAAAAATACATTTGCCTAAAATACGTTTGCCTTCTAGAAACAAGCCATTTTCTCATTTTTGAAGGTTTTGTTATAAATTTTGAAATCAAATTAATTTTCCTTGAAGAATAATAACATTTAATGAAATAACGTTCAACTCCATCTATTTCAGGAATGAATGTTTTTGTAGCATTCTTCGTTTTACTTCTTCTATTGGCGGAAAATACACCAGCTAACTCCGAGCTACCGACGATAGGTATACGACAGATATGAATGTAGTTGTTTTATTGAATTACTATGGTATATTCAATGACGTAATACTTGGTGATTTACTCAGGTGTTTCGTTCAGTGATGAGAGTTAATAGCTTACTGAACGAAATGCATCGAATAACCCGGTATTGAAAGAAATCACACTTGGTATATCCTCATTCTGCACAGGACACTTCACTCACTGGACTGATGATAATCCTGTATGCATCCTTACTGTAAAACTACACATATCATAGGTGGATATTTATTTGGATCTGAGACGTTTGAGTTCATGTCTACTTTCATTATTTAGGGTCTAATATAATTCATATGTATTTGCATGAATCTGACGTAAGACCATCTCTCCCAACTAATATCTTACTTTTGCTTTATACATGCTAACTCATCGTCGTTTCAAACTTATATGTAATCATAAATTCTACAAGACGTGCGTACACTGAAGGGTGTATTGGCCATCCATGGGGTCAACGTAAGCATGGAGCACGAGGCGACACATTGTTATGAAATCGTATAACTAAAATAGCCACAACAAGCATTGTTATGACTATATGATGTGATATAGCCTGATAAGATAACGCAAACATTGTCATGGGAAGTGTATGAATTATTCATAACCGCAAAATCGTAAATTATTTATTAGCATATGGATGTTACATGTTGTTGCAGGAATGAATATACTCATGGCATTCTTTCTCCTACTCTTGACGTTGGCTGACTCCACCCCTCCTGCAGCAGCCAGCATCCCACTTATAGGTATTGTCTTCAACACACTTGAATCCTATGATCTTGTCCCTCGAATTCGGGTCTATCCATATTCAGCTCTCATATTCCCAAAACAAAGCACAGTGATTACAGTGCCCTCTATCAATTGTGATAACTCTGACAAGAGTATCTCAAGTCAGAGTTATCTCAAAGGCACAATCATAATGGATGAGAAATACTAAATGAACAAGTGTTATTCAGAGGACGTCGTGCCCTCTTCCAATTGATCGTAGCCCTGTATATAATTTAATAAGATCATGGGATTTACATGTGTTTACTCTGAATGTAGATATCTCCTATCTATAATATAACATTCACTCTTAGGTATCTTTATTTCTACAATCATGAAACCTTCATGCATGAACTATACATTCATATTTTTGTATTTGATAATGAAAACTATAATGCAACATTAAATTCTCTATTAAAAGTGCTTTTAGACCTTAAGTCGTCAAAATAACTTTAAATAGAATGATTATATACATTTTAATGTTTCCTTTTTGTAAATATGTTTATTGATTAGAAAAATGCAATGCAGGGATGAATGTCGTATATCTGAAATATAACCTGAATAATCCCAAAACCCAAATGATGAGACGGTATCCTCAAATACGCGTAATCCTCAAATATTGCAATAGTACATAGTTCAACTTTAATTGTGATTTTTAGGTTCGTATTAATTATTTTGTTTATTCATGGTAATCAGAAATTGTCCAAAGGATGGAAAGGTATCTGCAAAATATTCCAATAGTCCATAGAGTGGCCTTGTACGTGACATACCCGGGTTTGAAAGGGGGCAACATAGTTTTCTACATACTAAATTCTTATCTAATAAAATTCTTGTTTTAGGTGCATACTTTTGTTTGAACATGGTCCTCATCACCTGCTCCACATTTTTGTCAGTAATCGTCATCAATCTGTACTTCCGTGGTGATAAGAAGGGCCGTGTCCCGGCATGGATCAGAGCAGTAAGAAAACATTCACAATTAGTCTTAGTCCAATAAACATTTATTTTATTCCTCCAATACGTTCTATCATATGGAGAGTTGTTTAGCTGAGGGTCCTAATACAACAATAAAAACTGGTTACAATCCTGGTTAAAACTAAAATAGCTAAGATAAGAATCTTATACCCACCCAGTGTCTATTCAATAATGTTGTAAACGTAATAACAGAAAAGCAAAATATTGTAGACATCATCTTTGTCAACGTATTTTCGTCTCTATTCCAGTGCTTTATAGATGGGATAGGTCGAGTTCTATGCATGACAACTCCTGCGGAAAGACGGGATCAAACCCGCTCTCTGGAGGCTGTACAAACCAGTGACGGGGGAGTCGCCAATCATATTTATAAGGATAAGAAAGGTCGTAGTAAAGAACGGAGACTTCCAGAGCTTAAATATAACAAATTTGAACCCCCTGAGCCATATGACTTTTTAAACCACGGGGGAAATTCAAAAAGTGGTGCTAGGTCACCTTTACACACACAGGCGATTGAGAGCGACATTAGGGAAATAAGAAGGTGCCTGAGGACTTTTATGACTCGAGTTCACGAGAAGGAAATTCAGGGCAAAATTTCTATGGAGTGGAGAACTGTTGCATTAATAATGGATCGTATTTTCTTTTTCACATATCTAGCTATTACTATAATTTCACTAGCAACGATCTTCCCTAAATCATGATTCTTCAGAGACAAACACAATCTAAAGCTATACATTTTCCTTCGCTCATGCTCATACTTATACACGGCTATATGTGATGAACCAAACTGGTGTTTGTTCAACCAATGTGTATATACACTTTTCTCAATATAAGAACGGAACCACCTAATTTAGTTTAACTTTAATCCTTTGTTTATACCATACTGCATCCTTAAATATATTAGGGTTCCAAAACATTATTAAGAAAAGTATATCCATATTGTCTAAACCTAGAAAGTGACATTATCAAAAATGAAGCACATGCGGATATCGCAAAAAAAGGTTGTGATATGTTTGAGACAAAAAATGTGGTAGAATATATGCATCTCCTTCTGGAGACAATTGGATATAGTTGATTGTGACATCACATGGACTAACCAACACTGACGTCAGCAACACTGCACTCTGGTCGCTAAATGTCACAATGTTTTGTACTATGTGTCTTAAAATTGTATATTTATGTGTTCAAATTCACCTCTCTTCATCGGTTTAATTTAGTTACCTCTTGTACATCGTCATCAATTATTTATACCATGTTTATTCAGATGTAAAAACTGTAATATGTAAATAATACACAATTCAAATGTACCCAAATATGGATTAACAGGATAGACTACTTAGAAAATGTATATAGTTGTCATAGAAATGTTTTCAACTACTACCCATAATCAGTGCTGCCTCTATTTCATCAGAACTTATCTTTGCTTGTTTTTTTTCATTCCGTATGTTTATAATTCTTGCAGATCAAAACAAGTAAAATGACAACAAGAAATTACTCATTGGTTAGATTGAAGAACCATCTACTTATCAACTGTCAACCATATTTGGGTATCATTGTAAAGCTCACGACTCATTTGATATAAATATATACCATAACAAAAATGAGTAGACTTTGCAGTAGATCTCTAGAAATTAGAACTATATAAAAAGTAGTAGAAATAAAATTGGGAGTGGAAATATAAAAATTAGAAAGTTGATTGAGAAAATGTCGTCATTCCTAATGCCATTCCTACATTTAGTAGCATTACAATAGCTAGTGAGCTAAGTTGTTCACAATACCCAGTCTCGTTTAACTGGCCATAGTTTTTTTTAGTTTTAAACTATTCATTAATTGAAGAATAGCGGAGTAGCCTGCTCTTGAACTCTTAACAAAATATTTATGTACTAGCAGTTTAACAGAAGTGAATGACACGGTTACACATGTTTCAGGTACGGATACGGTATCTTTCTATGAACACTGGCTGGGTTGAACGAAGTAATTTTTGGCTTACAGCTATCAGCTGTTATTACCCCCATGTCTATCTGTCCGTCAATCAACGATAACTTGTCCATACATATTCACAATGTTCACAGATATTTTTGGGGTTTTTGCCATGCATACCCCTACCCCTCCCAGAGGGGTCCCAGGAAGGTCCTCCCTAATGTGGTTAACCCCACGACATCTTAAAATCCCCATAGCGTGTCTGAAAAACTTGTGAGCGACCTCATAACGTCGCTTTCGTAAATGTGGACATATCAGTTCATCTGTCAAATGGTTTTTCTTTTCAAATGTGTTTGTAAAGTCATCAGTTGTTTAATATATCGTATCTCTGGTTTTCCTTTACAACAATTGAAATTGGTACACTTATTAAATGTGATATATTAAATCGTATTGCTTCATCATTTGTGGCTCAAGTATATGGATTGATAATAATTTGTAGAAATTTTGTCAAAAGTATCTCATAAATTTCTAAAATGGTCATCGAAATTATCAATTAGTTCTCCAGCTGATCAGATTTAAGGCATCTTGGCTCTGTTGCGGTGGTCTTTTTAATGTTTTAAGGAAAGACAGTGCGCAGTCATAGTTTTCATTGTGCTATATAGTAAAGAGTGGTGTCATATGGCTTCCCTTCCACATAAACCCCTTCCCACGTGAGCCCAGTACACATTTTGTACATTCTTCGTTTATAAATCCAAGCGTTTCAGCAACTTTGTTCAGCTACTTTGTAGGATTGGCATTTGTACAAAGGACCGTGAGTTGTTTGTAGAATGAATCGGGGGAGTTTTTTCATGCATTTCTCTTGTGTTTTTCACCTAAAAAACATTGATACACTTTAAACATTTTACACACCTTATTGGGATGTTTTGGTTTATATCAAAACCAAATAAGGTATGTATTCATGATTAACTTTCCTGTTATCCCAAAATCTGCTCGGAACTATACTATGGATTACTATGGGAAATTCCTCAAAGAGAAAATTCTAGGAAATGAATGGGTACCATTTACACATTTTGAGAAATTATTGGCGTAGATGAAACTTATCTAAACAGCATTTATTTTTTTATTATTCAAAAGCATTCGTAACTAATTATTCCCAGCCCTCTGAAGTTTGAAAAATAAAAATACCTGGGTATTAATCCATAGATAGTCCTTGAAAATGAGAAATATTTTGGGGGATTATATGGTGCAATCTCATAGTAAATAAAATGTTTTAAAGTGTTTTAATTGATGTTTTCAGATGAAAAGCACAAACGAAATGCATGAAAAAAAACTCCCCCGATTCATTCTACAAACAACTCGCGGTCCTTTCACCAGAATTTCAAAATGATTTGATTTGTGAGTCAAGTTTTCGAGGTACTATTCATTACATGATAAAATCAAGTTTTTAATAAATAAACTAGTATATAAAACCCTGGTAGAAACTACGCGTATTTTGATACTAACAAAAAGGCAGAAATATTAGGTATTTTGACTATCAATAGTTTTCTTTGGATTACAATGTTGAAGCATATAAATGGGGTTTGACCACAAAACCACCGGATGCCGAAGCACCTTTGGCCAACTCTCTACAGAGCATTTTCCGTACCCCTGATAAATTACTACTTCGGCAACTTGATAACTTAGACTAGATGCGAGTAGAAATGATCTTGATTTACGTCGTTAAATATTCAAAATTCAGTCAAAGTGATGTCATATTTGAAATCTACATGTAAAAATACATCTAAAAATATGGTTTCGAAAATTGTTTATCAACTTTGAAAATGAAAATGTGACTTCTAGTTCGGGTTGATTCCCCATAGACCCCATATTAAAAAATCACAAAAACTGAAATATCTTTTCTTGTATCGGACATATAACATTTTCTTTTACTGGACATACTTTAATTTGCATAACTATTCGATACATAAGGGCTATATGAAAATTGAACCACTAAAACAGATGTAATTTAAGTTAAAGGGAACTTTCTACTATACCAGCCATGCTATCTGACCCGAGCGAGCCACCTGGTGGTGAAACTGGTAACTACCTACTCGCATTTGCGGCGGTCAAGTCAAGTAACATAGTCAACATTCGATATTCGTATGTTCATCAATAATAACTAAGATAGGTGCCACAACTGAAGTAAAGGTCTGGTTAATTATTTTCAATAAACCTATCAGCAAACGTGTAAATGATAATTTTGATGTTCTGTTACATATTGGTGAAGCAATCTTGGGGATATAGCCTCTGAATTTCCATCATGTTCCTGTATACCCCTACTTCAAAAGATGTACTAGTATGTTATTTGTCATTTTTCATTATGAACCAACCATAAATGTATTTTTTCTTGTTTACGTACAGAATGAACTTTCTGTTTTCGAATATTGAAAGATGGTACTGCATCTATTTTTTCATGATATGGAGCAAACAAATGCGTGTCAATTTATTCTGTAATACTAGTATCCTACATACTCACAGGCTGGTATCGAAAAATTTGTCCGCTGTGACGGAGCGTACTATTTTGCATAGAAACACTAAGAAACCCATACAATTTATTTTTTTTACTCATATGTTTCGCTATACCAAAGAAAGTTTCTCACTCCATGCAATGGGTATATCATTTGCGGGTAACTTTAACTTTTGTTTGAAGTCCAACAACGCTAAGAGTAAAAGCTATTGAAAACGGCGTCGGAGTATCATACTCCAAAATGTACCATTTCTTTTATTTCTTTTTAATGGTACAATATAGTGACACGATAATATTTACATATGTTTTCAGCATAACTCTGAAGGTATTAATAATATCTTGATGTATTGGGTATTTTTAATATTTTTTATAAAAAATAATGTTTACATTTTTTGTCAGCTGTGACGGAGCAGTTTTAACTGTGAACTACGTTAAGAATTTAAGATTCAAATTATACCTTTTAAAAGTACCCTTAGAAGAGAGAACGTCACAAATCACTTTCCTAAATTATGAGAAGTAGCCTCTGAGAGATCTGGGGTAATGTAAATCTGAGATATAAAAACGACCACTCTTAGCATTTTTCGGAGGTTTGTACTGAAATCAACATGAATCAACATGGTGTAAACTCAACATAATATTTCTAATACGTTTCGCCAAGACGTAAAGTAGAATATCACGTGTAGTGTAAATTGTTACGCGGAATATGTCATACATTCATGGTTGCGCGGTATTTGTGATAGGGGTGAATATGCCATACTCACCTGCAGTATATGGCATATTCCGCAGGTGAGTATGCGAAATTCCGCAGTGAATATGTGATGCATTGAATTCAGTGAATACCCGATACTCACCTTCAGAATATGTCATACTCACTTGCGGAATATGCCATATACGGAAGGTGAATATGACATATTCCGCAGGTGAAAAACGTGATACAGAAAGACTTGGTTTGAATGGTTACGAGAATCGACTCTGAATGTAAAACTACGCTGGATTACCATTACTGTCAGTGCGTCGAGTACTAATATATGAATCCTGGATTGATTGGGTAAGTTTATTACGTGAGATTGGTGAGTGATACTTCTGCATACGTTGGTGTATTCGATAAACTGTACTGTTGATTCAGTAATCATTATGATAATTTATAAAGTTTTACTTGTTCGTTCAATCGATGCAATTGACAATTACATACTTCCGTTTCACGTTCTCATTGGTTAGTATGTATGCCATATACCGCAGGTGAATCTGTCATACACCGCAAGTGAATATGGCATATTCGTTGCGGAATATGGCATATTTTTGTATCGTGTTTACCGCGTAACAGAAATAGGGATAATATGAATTTATTCGAAATAGCGCACAGACATCCTGCATTCCGACAGATGTATAACCTTTTACCACATAATATTACTGTATACGAGGGGGTATCATTAATTAGTGAGACTTTTTTGAGGGAGCATCTTATATTCATCCAATTGCAATAAAACTTGGTAGGTATATGCCCTTGGGAATAGGGTATTGAATGAACACACTCATTAATTTATTTTCATAGATACCTAGCAACAGCGGTTACCATGGCAACAGTTGCTAGGGGTTGGTGGAGCAGCTAAAAAATTACCAGAAACAAGGGCACTTTTTACTATGTAATTTTTTACAAAATGACAGTTTCTTTTCAAATTTTGTTTACACAGTGCCCTGAGGTGGTTGTTATGACAACACAACCAATTATGATGCCATCTCTAGTACATGATGTCACACATGGCTGTGACATCAGAGACACGGCCATTTTGCAGTACTTTAGGGTGGAGCAAAATTGGCTAAAATAGGGATGAATTCCAAATAACTCAATGTTAACATAAGATCTGTTATAAAATACAATGCAATCAGAGGTATTCCA